GTAAATGAAGTATTTATTAAGTTAATTGGGTAATGTACAAAAAAACATTGAGTAAGTGTATAAATAACCAAGTGCAAATTGCTAATATTACGGTTCAGGGAAGAAATGAGGAGTCCCTAACTGTGGAGGTGTGAAGGGCCTTGGAAAACAACACATTTTTGAAAGACATTTTAAAGGCAGCAATGACAGTAATAATAGAGAAATTTATGGAGTGGATGTTATGTTCTGGCCACTGTTCTAATTGTATGAATACAGTACTTCATTTAATCCTTATAATCTTTTAAGGAAGATCAACCATGTGAAAGATCTACAGACTGAGCAGAGACATGACATTAACTTGTTCAGGTGTGACAACTCATCAGTGGTGAAGTGAGGAGGAGAATTCAGGCAGACTGTCTCCAGTTACACTTTTAGGTATAACTACACAAGATAATGAATTGTATGTAACAGGTAGGAGATGGGAGAAGCCGGAAGTGGTTTACAGTCACTGTTTTAAAAGTGTCTTTTATAAACACTAGGTTGTCAGAATGTCGATGTTATTCAGCAGAGAGATATAACATCAAATAACATATGGGGATAAACAAAATAAGTATATTTTATACTGGAGGAGACTTATTTTATTTTTAAAAAATAATTAACTTTATTATTACAATTTAAATATACATAACAATCACATTCATCAAAGAGGATTTGTACCTGTTTATGATATAGTAATTCTTTTTTCTCTATTCGCCTTCCCTTCCTTCAACGCCCCCTTATTTACATAGGCTATGTTTCCATTTTTTCTTCTTTCATCAATTTTTTCCTATTTTCCTTCTCCTCCTTTCACAATTTCTCTTTCCTTTTGAACAATTTCTTCCTATTTCATATTATCTAGTATACATTTTGGTCCTTATTTACCCTTTCAGTTTCTCACACTAGAGAGACAATGCAGGGCTGGGGATTTAGCTCAGTGGTTCTGTCACCTGTCTCACAAGTGCAAGGACCTGACTTCAATCCCCAGTACCATTGAAAAAAAAAAAAAAAGAGGGACAATGCAATATTTACATGTGTCCAATTTTTTCACTTAAGAGTGTAGTCTCAAGTTGCATCCATTTAGCTATAAATGTATCAAGTTTATCTTTCTTTATGGCTGAGTATTACTCCATTGTATTTAAAAAAACAGAACTTTTTTACTCATTCATCAGTTGATGGGTATTTAGGTTGTTTCCAAGATTTAGCTATTACAAACTGTGCTGCTATAAACATGGGTACACATATATCATTGTGGTATGATGCTTTAATTCCTTTGGGAAGCTACCCAGCAAGAGAACAGCTGGGTCACATGGAAACTCTAATCCTAATTTTTTTAGGAATTTCCGCAAAGGTTATACCAGTCTGCACTCCCTCCAGCAGTGGAGAAGGATTCCTTTTTCCCCACAGCTTCACTGCCATTTGTTGTTGGCTGATTTCTTGATAATAGCCATTCATTCTCAGGTGAGATGGAATCTCAGTGTTGTTTTAATTTGCATCTCTTGGATGACCAAGAGATATTTTACTATATTTCTTTTACTATATTTTTACTATATTTCTTTGCCATTTCTACTACTTCATCTGAGAAGTGTCTATTCATTTCAGATGCCCATTTTTTGGTTTGGTCTTTAAATTGGGGGGCTGAGTTTTAAAAAATTTTCTTTGTATGTTCTAGAACTAGAATAGCAAAAACAACTCAGAGCAACAAAGAAAAATCAGGGGGCATCACAGTCCCTGACTTGAAATTGTACTACAAAGCTACTGTGAGAAAAACAGCATGGTACTGGCAAAAAACAGACCTGAGGATAAAGGGAACATGCTAGAAGCGGTGGAAACAACACCAAACACACTCAGCCACCTTAACTTTTACAAAGGGGCCAAAAGTGTTCACTGGAGGAAGAATAGGCTCTTTAATAAGTAGTGCTGCAAAGACTGGCTTTCTACATGCCAAAGATTGACACTAGACCCATATCTCTCACCATTCACTAAACTAAAGTAAAAAAGGATAAATGTTCTAAATATTAAAACAGAAACACTAAAAGGTAATAAGGGAAAAATATGAGAAAATGGAAATAAAGTGTTTATAAATGGGGAGGGGAGGAGGGGGTGAAGGCAGGGCAGGGAAAAGGGGAAAAAATGAGAACCAAGACCTGTCATGTAAAGGTACAAGATCCCAATAATGAATGTAACTGTACTGTATACCTAAAATACCAATAAACTAAAGTGTTTATAAATGGGGAGGGGAGGAGGGGGTGAAGGCAGGGCAGGGAAAAGGGGAAAAAATGAGAACCAAGACCTGTCATGTAAAGGTACAAGATCCCAATAATGAATGTAACTGTACTGTATACCTAAAATGTACCAATAAACTCAATTAAAAAAAGAATAAACAACAACAAAACAGAAGCACAAAATCTTTTGGAAGAAAGAATAGGTGGAACTCTTGAGGACATAGGAATAGGCAACGACTTAATGAACAAAGCCCAAACTGCCCGAGAAAGTGCAAAGAATCAACAAGTAGGATCTCATCTTATTAAAAAGTTTTGCACCACAAAAGAAATCACCAAAAGAGTAAAGAGACAACCCACAGCATGGGAAAAAATTTTGGCCAGTAGCCCCTCAGAAGGAGGAGACTTTTAGAAGTTTAATTTGCATTGAAAACCTTCAAGTAAGTGTGATATGTAAAATTTTCCAGGGTTATTTGACCGTGGATCTCATTATTTAAACTTTTGGGGTGTGCATGTGTGTGTGTGTGTGTGTGTGTGTGTGTGTGTGTTTGTGTGTGTGTGTGAAACATAACCAGGAAGCTGCTTATATAACTGTCCTACTTTGGACACCAGGTACAGGAGGAGCAATGTTGTGGATTAAATGGCAAATTTGGGTCTAACATCTTAAATGTCAGGTGCTTGAAAGGAACATGTGTAATAAAATGATGTGGATTTGGGCCTTGAGAAATGGGTCAGAATTGGAGATGTAGAGGTACAAGTCCTTCATATATAGATGACAGTGAAGACTTGAGCTTAGCAGCAAAATCTGAGTTTGCTAAGGGGAAGAGCAAAAGAGAATATAAGGGAAACATTTTGTACTCTGCCTATGCGATGTCAGCTCACTCAGGAACAGTTGATATTTAGTCGATATTTAGCTTTGCTGATATTTTGTTAAATCATTTCATCATCTCCATATGTAAAATCTAAGTCTTAGTCTAATAATCACATTTCTCCAATATAGCTAAACTCTTGGAAGACAAATTTCTTAATTTAGAAAAACAGTAATCTGATTTATTTGGGAACAAGTGGCCTTAATAAGATCACAGCATAACCGAACCTTAAGTGGGATGATGTGCACCCATGATTGTGTCCTAAATGTCACTTGTCTCCATGACTGCCTTATATAAATTTAAGGAAATACTATTATTCTTTAAAGTTAATGTAGCCTCGAATTTTAAAAAGAGGTCTCATATTAATTTAATCCATGGCAACAGAGATTTTTTTCAAACCAAATAGTTCCAGGAGGATCTATTTTAACAGCAACATCTGTGAACCATTCTAAAAACTTGCAATAAAAAAAAATCATATAATATCTGACCAGAAACAACAAAGCCAAATTGGATTTCTCTCTGGAAAATGAGATTCAAATTATGTTTAAAACCTACACACTTTTAGTGGGAAAGGTAAAAACTATTATATTTAAGTCATTTAAAAACAAGAAATTTCAGACATGTACACTATTGAGTCATAGATTTTGTTGAAGATGTGTTTCCAGTGTCAAAGCCAATGTTAATCTAAAGAGAGATAGAGTTAAAGAGAGAGAAGAAGTTCAACTAACTTTTTTTTTTTACATTCTCCTAACCTCTCCCAGTTTATTTCATATATCTCTGCTAGATGAACAAACCTAAAGTCAAACTCAGTCCTATAATTTTTCTCTGCTTGCAAATCTTAATGGTTCTCCACCACACAGATCTTGAATACCAAAGCCTTTAGACAGACATCAGAGTTCTGCAGGGTCAGGCCTTTGTTTTACCTCTCAGTCTAATTTATTGCTCTGCTTTTTGCTTGGGAGATTCCAGCCAATTCTACTTGTTTACCATTCAGGAGCCCCGCCTCCGTTCTGCTCCTTTACTCATGTTATTCCTCCTTCTTAACTTCCTTTTCTTACCTGACCAGCTCCAGTGAGAGGTAAATCTCTTCTCTTAAATTATATCATGTGGACTACATGATACACTTAATGATTTCCCAGTGTGTGTCACTATTATATAAGGAGGCTGTGTGGTATGGCAGAAAGATTTACGACGGTTTGATGACCAGCCAGACATCAGTTTCCAATACCATTTCTGTGTACTTGTAGCTAAGTGGCCTTTTGGAAATTCTTTTAACCTGGCTGAGCCTTAATTTTCTTATCTTTAAAACAGAAAAAAAAACTGTCATGTGTTAGATTCTTTAGCACTTGGCTTGGCATGCAGACATTAATTTCATTTTCAATGGAGCTTAATGTCACTTTTGCTTTCCAAGTAGGTAAATATATCCAAAGACTGGAGAGAGAGAGAGAAAAAGATTTGATTCAATTGTTAAAAAAGTAAAAGAAATAACGTAAAATGTAAAATGCTCAGATAGTTCCTTGTACAGAATAACCTTAGCAAATGGCAGATCCACTATTATCATTAGGGTACAAACTTCAGTGACAACAGCTTGTACTCAATTCATTTTTCAGGCCAGCATTCAGCAATGCTTAGCAGAATTTAGTTGGTGCTCAGGTATGATTTCTGGAATGTGTGCTTCTATATTGCTTGGATCAGGTTTGTGAAGTAAGAAATAATGATTTGGGCAAATCCAAGGATAGATGACTGTGGTTAGGTTTTATTTCTAAAAGAATTCAACTGAATAAATTTGGTATCCAATTCAACACCAAAAAGCATAAAGAACAGAACTCAGGAGAAAACTTTTAAAAATTTGTTTTCCTTTTTAAAAAGTGTTATTTTTTTAAAAAGCACACACTTCACTTCTCAGCCTTTTGGCTAAGATCAAGGATAGTATCTGTTCTTATCGGTTTACTCTCTGATACAATCTCTCTCTACAGACAGTCTATAACATGATTTTTGGAGCAGGAAATGGAATTCTTGAGCTTGCTTAATCCACTCCATCTATCAGCCTTCTATTGTAGTATCTCCAGGAATGGTGCAACCCCTTAAAGGGAATTTTAAAAATACATAAGTAAAAGACACACAGATATAAAATTTATCATGCCAGCCGTTTTCATGTGTACAATTCAGAAGTGCTAAATATATTCAAATGTTGTAAATATAGTTCTATAGATATCTAGATCATGCAGATCTAAAACTATCCTCATGAAAAAAATAATTCCTCTGCATTCTCTCTCTAGGCTTTGGCCACCACCATTCTGTTTTCGATTTCTAAAGAGAAAAATATTCAATAAAAAAAGAAGAGACAAGCATTCCACTTCATGCACTGATTACCACAGGATGTGAGAAAAAACAAAGGAAAACAGAAAACAGAGAGATGTCCCCGGTACAGACGTGTCACATGCTGAGTTAGAGACTGAAACTTGGAGTAGGCCAGTCTTTGGTTGGGAAACCAGGATGAATGTCAAGTCCTATCTAGGAAGCCAGAGGTGCAGCAAATCCAGATCAGTTTCTAAATATTAGAACAGGGACAGGCTAAGGACAGAATTATCTCAGAGATTCCAGAACCATAGTCTGAAGGAAAACATGAGGTACCGGTAAGACGTTGCAGGAAACTGAGAAAAAAGCTGTAGAAGAGAAGGGCAGTACACTTACTTCTTGTGGGTGGGTCTGAATGTCTTGCGCAACTTCTAAGGGTCCAATCACGGTTCTCTGGGGGTGATGCTGGGAGGGACATTTTGCCCTGGGTTGGATGAATGGGCAGCAGATGAGAAAGGAACTCTGCCCACTCTCCCCTGACCAGTTGGTGCTTATAAGCACCAAGAGCTGAAGTTCATAAATCTTTTCACCTAATTTCAATTGTACAAAGATAATTTGGGGGGAAGTAAAGGAGAGGTGCCAAGAAACACAAAATAAAACGGAATTTGTCTAGGCCCCACCCACTTTTAGATGGCCCTGCAGGGGAAAGAAGGTGCTTAAGAAAAAACAAGGAAAAAAACCCAAACCCAGAAACTTCTGAATTGAACATCAGATCTTTTCCATCTCCACCCAGTTTTTTTATATATGACCTTTGGCTGGTCTAGTCTTTGGCTCCCCTTCAGGTCACTTTCCTTGCAATTTTCAAGGACTTTCAGTGTTCAAGCAAATACATTGAATAAAGGCAGATATTTTGCTCCCCTTGTGTGATGACTATTTTAGTGTTTTGATTCTCAAAATCATCCCATGATCTTATTAAAAGTTAACATTCATTGTGCTCATATCTGAAGACTAAGGTAAATCCAAAGGACAAAACAAAATGAACTCTAATAAATCATTTAACTACTGTAAATAAATCAATTCCTTGACTATGAAATGCTGAAGGGAAAATTTCCTCCTGTGTTCACACCCACCTTCCTGAGATATTGTGGTAGTCTGTTTGGGATAAGAGCATGGTAGCACCTTTGAGCAGATGGTAGACTCAGATGGGAAATGGCCCCCTTGGTTCTACAGTAAGTGAGCACTACACACGACAATGAATTCACAGTCCTTTTGTTCTTGGAGCTTACAGTCTAATGTGGAATAAGACAGCTTACATTTTAACCTGAAGTAGTCAATATCATCTAGAAATGAAACAAGATGGTGACACCCATGAGAAGTTATAGGAAGGTAATAAACAGCAACAGTGATATCTAATGAGTCAGAGAAGAAGCCTCCACAATGGAGAACCAAATATTTTTAGGTGTGCAAATATGTGCTCATGATTTATTACATTTCAATGCCTGCCTATGCTTTTGTCCATTGTCAACTCATAGTAGAGCTCATACTGTATTATCTCCCGACCAAGGAAAGGGAGTGATCCAGTCATCTTCCCATGGCTCTGGCTTGACCCTTCTTCCTTCCTTTGTGCCTAAAGTCCTTTCTTGTCCCCTTATGCCTTTGTTTTCTATTTCTGCTATAACAAATTACCACAAATTAATTGGTTTAAAACAACAGACATTTATTACTTTACTGTTCCAGAATTCCTATAAAATCTCACGGGTAAAATCATGTGTCAGCAGAGTTACAATCCTTCCAAGGCTCTAGGGAAGAATCCATTTCCCTGTGTTTTCCGGCTTTTAGGGGCTCACATTCCCTGGCTCCTGGTTGCTTTCCTCCATCTTCCAGCCCAGTGCTAAGGCACCTTCTTGACCCCATTTATTCATTACTTGTCTTTCTGATCACATCTCAAGAAGGATCTTCATTTTTAAAGACTCAAGTGATTTAGGTTGATTCCGCCTACATAATCTAGGTATCTTCCCATCGCAAAACCATGCCTGCAAAATCACTTTTGCACATGGGGTCATATGTTCATAGATTCCAGAGATTAGGAAATGGACATGTCAAGGATCATTATTTTACCTACCACACTGAAGTAACTAGCTGGAACTTTTGTGTTTCTTACAAGAGAATTAAAGCCTCCCTTGCTATAGCTCTTTCAACTCCTTCTTTATAGGATTGAGAATATTTTTTAAAGTCCTAAACTGTAACAGAAAAATATGACCAAGTTTTTTTCTATTCTTGGGATCCCTATTTAATTTTGAAGTATCAATTCTATTTGCTTATTGGTACATGTTTGTGATGCATATTGAATGCATTTGTTGAGAGGAGTTGATAACGTGGATATATCGCATCAACTTAAAAAAATAATAATTTGTGCTTCTCCTTTGCTGTCACTCCCAACATGTGCCAACAGCGTTTGCTGGATAATCTGCAGTGGGCTCTGCTGTTAGGTCGCTATATCTCTACCCACCTAGAAGAAGGCTTGGAGGAAGCCAGCTGCTCAAGGGAATCATGCAAACCCAGAGACCCCTTAAGTCCACCTCAGTAGTTTCACTACTTTTTTCCTGCTCACACCATTTATTCACATTTTCTATTAGAGAAGTGATGTGTATAATATATCTCACAATAGATCATTTCCTCTTGTTGCTTTAATACTTGCATTAAACTTAGGGGGAACAGTGGCCCTTGTGAGCATCTAGGTTTTCATCCTTGGGTTTGCCCTCAATATACTCACAAAGATTCCTTTTCCATATTGTTTTTATAATGAATAGCCAGTTCAAAGACACTCCCAAATGGCTTGCAAATGCCAAGCAATAACACAGTCACATTAATACTAATCTTTTATGTGAAAATTATGTACTTTTATTTTAGCAGTGAGCATAGTGATAAGAATGCTTCTGGTTTTGTGTTTCAGAGTCTCAGGAAGATACCCTGGATGAAAACCCATGTTTGTTTCAACAAGCACACACTGAGATTATCCTAGATATGAGAAACCATATTAGGCACAAAGAACACAAACATTTTTTCCACAAATCTGTCAAGATGCTGATTTCCTCTGAAATCAACAAATCATTGGCTTCTTGTGGCTTGAGGCATGTACAAGTGATTACAGTTTTCATAAACACACAAATATCTGGCTATTTTTGTAACAGTCTTGTTGATAATTTAACTGAGACATAGTGCTCTAGTGAGAGTTTTTGTATTTTAGCTAAGCCAATACTTAAACTATAAAATAATAAAAAACACAGCAGTAAAAATTGAATTGAGCTAATTTGTGATGATTAATCTCTGGGGTGTTATCTGAAATGTTATCTTCCCAAGCAAAAAAAAAAGGAAAAAGGATGAAGAAATACATATGCTGAGAGAAGAGATGGTCTGGAGATAAGCAGACAACAGACGTCTCATCTGGATGATGCTCGTGCTCTGCTCGTGTCCATCTGCTGTGCTGGGCACCTGATTGTGCCTTTGTGTTACAATGATGGCCTCCATGTCACTGTGAGGTGGTAAGAGGAAAAGCTTTAGAAGAGGGAATGCTGGCAGTGCTAGTGTCTTTGTCACTTTGGCTGGGACACGCCTGATACAGACAATTTAAAGGAGGGAAGGCTTATTTTGGCTCACAGCCCACAGTTGGCCAGCTCCAGAACGGCACTCAGACGGGCATAGCGGAGGAAAGTGGCTCACACCATTGTGACCAGGAAGCAGACAGCAAAAGAAGGGAGATGAACCCTTCCAGGTCATGCCTCCAGCGAGATCTCTTCCAGCCAGACCCCACTTTGCAACGCTCATTGGCCAAACTTGCTAGTGGATGAATCTGCTCATGAGTATAGCCCTTCCGTGATCCGGCCATCTTCCAAAATCCCCGCCTCTGAGCACATGAGGGTTGGGGGGACCTTCTAGACCTGAACTCCAACAGCTGGGGGAAAGGGTCAAAGAGGAGGAGAATCTAGGGCAATTGGTGGGAGCGCAAGAATATGCCCAGACACTGGAGAAAATGGGGTAGGAGAGGTAGGAGAAGATAGAATAAAAACCAGTAAGTATAAGGGGAGAGAACTGAGCAAAAAGGAAGGAGTGATCATGACAGGAAAGATGTTATATAGAGGAAAATGAGAGGAAAGACGGAAGTAAGTTGAGGGAGAAAGGAAAGATATTTAAAAGCAGAAGACAGCCTTCAATAAAAGAAACAGATTGAAATGTTCACCACTTTCCTTATGCTGCATTCCGAAATCAAATGTTTGCCGTTGTCATAGTTAACTGACAACCTAGTCGCAGGCCTATTAGTAAAGGGACAAGTCCCAGTCCTGAACAAAAGCATTGTCAAACCTCAGCTCTTCCTGTGTCATTTCCCTAGCTGTCCAGGAAGCGGATCTATAGTTAAGGAAGAAGACGTGCTCTCTAGGATAATGGGGCTGAGGGTAAGGGGGACCGTGCCTGGCTAGGAGCGCCTCTGCTCTCCTCACCAGGTAGAAATCCATCCTCATGCAGAGGCGTGGATAGTGTTCAGATTCCCTAACTATTGTAACAAAACAAAACTTCCTCTTCCTGTTGCTTTGAGAACAGTGAGTACTCAGCAAATCAGAGTAGGAGAAGAAGCCAAAGGAGAGGTTGTTTAATAGTTCTACTTGGCCAACAAGTCTCTCCTCTGACTCACAAAAATCCCTCAAGGAAACAGCCTAGGAATAAACCTAGGAGAGTTGTGTATTGTCTTCAAACTGCATATTGGGCCATCAGTGTTTGAAAAATGGTTGCCT